ATTAAGAGTTAAAACAAACGACAAAACTCTACTTTTTATCCATTATTTAATTGTTAAACACTAAACACATGGTCGATGTGTACACTATTTGTGTATTGATTTTTCACAATTAAATATCGGCGACTCGTCTGAATTGATGAACGCTTTTAATGTAATTAAAATAATTAGAGATCTTTTCTCAACAATTATCGTACACTTTATATATACGGATATATTCTCTGCACTCAAACAAACACTTTGTAAACATTGCTAAACCAGTAAAAAGGCATTACTTTTATCTCAATTCTGTGCATCAAAGTTGCATTGAAAATACAATTACATTAATTATAATTGCTTAATAGAAATTCTTTCATAGTTTTCTAATTGCCTTGTAATACAAAAATATAGTGAATTTTAATTTTAAAAATATAATGCATTTTTATAATTGCCTTATATTTCGCTATTGTCTGCGAAAGTTCGTTAACTAAATGGCATTAAGACTTGATGTTTATGTGTCTATGCATTCAATTAGTGCATCAAATAAATTGTTTAATATATGAAAATATTTTTAATTTATATAAAAGCTATTTAATTTGCTTTTGGGGTTTAAATCAGATTTAAGTCCATATTTTTGAAATATAATTATATAAATACTTATCATATTTTATACACTAATTACAGCATTCTTTTCATTATGCAAACCAAATATGCATTTAATATCTCTTTTGGGTTAAAAAGTAATGACTCTTTGCGTAACAGAAAGTATATCCATATCTACTGAATGTCTAATGAATTGTAAAGAAAAGAAAAGTCGAAGAAAAGTATCGTTTGGTTTATAGAAATATAATAACATTTTTTGGCACAACTCTAACACTGATTCCAAATGTCTATTCAAAACGAAATATTGATTTATTAAAAGGCAGAAACTTTTGTCAAAGAGAGAGAGAGAGAGAGAGAGAGAGAGAGAGAGAGAGAGAGCGAGAGAGTCGACAGAGATATGATATGATGTGTAACTTTAATTCAAAGTATTTTTCCAAAAGAATAGGTTTTTGGCGTTAGTATTGTTAAACATTTCAACAAAATTTTCTTTTCCATACAATTCATTCACATATATATCGCATATATATTTCTATCACTGGAATAGCAAAACATTTTTAGGGGATTTGAATAATTCGCTTCTCAAGCAATGCATGAATTTACTCGTCAGCGAAGCGAATGCGAGCTTTCATTTGAAATCATTTGAAAAATTTTCATTTCAAACCAAATCTCTAAATGAGAGATACTTTTTGTTTCTCTCACAAAATCTGTTAAACTGTTAAAACGGGTGAAAACTTTTGGCCCAAATTTCACTCCTTTTCATATAACAAACACAATATAACTGTTAAAATATATATTATTTATTTTAATTAGTGTTTTTGAATGAGAAAATCCATTCATTATATGAAAATCATATCCAAATACAAATAACGCATACATTTTTCTATTATAATACGCCTGAAGTCCGCAATAAATATACAGAATATGCCCTAAAATGAATGCATTTGAGCTGTAATTTCCTGAATAACGAGATTTTTGTCGCAGAATTCATTACAAAACTAATAAAATAGTCAAAAATTATGACCAAAAAGTGTTGTTTAGTGTAATAAAACAAAGCCATCGCCAAAGTTTCAGTAGTGAATCGCGTGATGTATTCAATAGTAAATATTCTGTGAGTTGTATAACACATATCATGTATAAAATGAATGAAATCAATAGATACAGAGCGTCGGCACTAATATTCATGTCTTTAGACGGAAATTGTGGCACAATTTTTCACTACATATTCGTCTCGTAATAAAAATATATATTATATTTTGAGAGAAAAACTAATACTTTAAGTAACATCTCTTAATACAAGAGTTTTCTTAATATTTTTCAGAGAAACTGCTATACAATATATATTTATATATATTTATCGTGTGATATCTTTATATAAATGTAAAAAACTTTGAAAATATCATAAAAATATAGTTTCCCAATGAGTGAGAGAATGCTTTTAGCTTAGAGTTAGAGCTAAGTTAGACTTAATGGCAAATTCATGTCAAAACTATATATTTTTCTATTGATTTTCTTCATTCACTTTTTCTATTAATATAGTTTTTCGTTGATTTCTCTACAGTTTGGGGTAATTATTAGTTGTAAACAAAACACCGAATACACTCATTGTGTGCTTTCATCGCAAATAAATATACAATTTTTTCCTAACGTTTTCTCCTTCTTCTGTGTCTTTACATTACAAACAAAAAACTGTGTTTTCATTGTTCCCATTGTTTGGCCAAAGAATTATGTAAACAGTAATCCGAAAAACCATTTTTGTCTTTTAATATCGTCGGGAATTGTGAAACATTTTTTTCATATATGTTTTTCATGTAAAACAATAGACAATATTTTAATTAAATTATGGGTTTTCGTTGCTATAAAAAAACTCACAATTTTGATGCTTTCGTTTAGGCGTTGAATGCAGTAATAAATAGCTGTTTGACTGTAAAGTTGTGACCACTGTTTGCGAGCAAAAGAATAATATTTCTGAAGACTTATTGATCAAAAATTATATTTATCGTCAAAAAGCAATGACTTTAGTTGTGTGTTATCTAAACGATGCCTTTTTTTGTCGTCCAGTCAAACAAAATGTGCACAAAGAGAGTGAGAGACTCTTCACTACTGAAAACGCCTTTCAATAAACGATAGACTCTTACAAATCAAATATTTACTCCACTCTATACTTAGGCTTCAAATAAGTTTTTTATTAACTTTTTGCTCTATTTTTTTCGTGCCATTCGTTCATTGAATTAAATGCCCTTAATTTTGGTCTCCATTTATTAAATATTGCTCTCTCTCTCTCTCTCTCTCTCTCTCTCTCTCTCTCTCTCTCTCTCTCTCCACTCACTTGCTCTCCCTCTCAACACCATTGTATTAAACGAAATGCATTTTTAACGCCGTCTCTAAGACTTCATTAATAATATATTTTATATTTAGTTTGTGTTAAACGTATCCGAAAAACGCATATAAAATATGAATACAAAAAATTATATTTTCTCACATAAATATATAACAAATTTGATTACTTGACTGTCTGTCACTTTATTCACTCGAAATTGCATTCAAACATCAAGTCCTTGCTCTCTATCTTCTTCACATCTCTCTCTCTCTCTCTCATGTTTGTTCTCGACTTTTCCTGNTCTCTCTCTCTCTCTCTCTCTCTCTCTCTCTCTCTCTCTCTCTCCTCTGTTTATATACAAAATTATATCAAACAATAGGAAATTCTTTTGTGCTTTCTTTTTGTCAAACACTTCATATGTATATAAAACACAAATAGAAACACAATTTCGCTGTTAATATGAAAAACTCAGGAAAAGTCGAGAACAAACTTGAGATGAAATACTTTTTGTTTTATCTATCATTCATTGCATGAAATATAATATTTTTCTATTCGTTTAAGTGTTTCGCTAAACGAGTTTTCCTTTTGTTTGTTACAATTCATTATGTGTTTCCATATTATATAATATTAATACAAAAAACGTAAAATTTTCTTTTTTATTACATTTATTATTTTTATCTGATATTATTTAAGGCAACAATTTTCTCATTTAATGCATTAATTTTCGTGATTATAAGTTATTAAATAATTAATTAGTTTTGATATATAATTTTTTATTTGCAGTTCATTTCAAACGACATAATAATTTCATTAATAAATTCAAACTTGTTTTAAATTTATTTCCGTTTTTCTGTTTATTTAAAAATAATTAACATAAAAGAGAAAAAAGTTTTCTGATTTAATTTAATAAAAACTTTTAGAAATACTTTTACAGCAAATGTAAGGAAAAAACCACAAAATGATATTTATGTCAATTCACTAATTGAAGGAATAGTATATAAATCTTTTGAAAGTACATCTCATTCGCTACTACTGTGTGTTGTAATGTATTTTTGTGCCAAAAAATTAACTCAAAGTCTCACACATTTTCTTACACTAAAAGCTATTGATATTAATTGTCTACACATTTATCAATCACTACGAAGTGAAAGGAAATTAATTCTCGCAATCGATTCCATGGCTAACCATATTCTGTATATATTTATATTTGTTAATACCATATAATATATGTATGGAATATATAAATATATTGTATAACTTCTAAGTGTAGAGCAAATAACAAACAATATTTTGTAAATAAAAAAATTAAAATAAAATAAAAGTTTATTTTGGCCAAAAATAAGCAGTTGTTGGCGAATAAGACGCCGGCAGTGATCGCAAAATTGAATAAAATTCATTGCTTATAAATAGCATTGACTTCTGGTTTATACTCGAGAATAAAGTGCTGTTTATATGCACCCAAAAAACTAAAACAAAATATTGTTTAAATGTATTTGTTATATAAGTGGAGTGGAGTGCATGTTATACCCGAATCCAATTGCTGTTCAAATTGATCGATTAGTTTGGTTCTCATGGAGAGAGAGAGAGAGAGAGAGAGAGAGAGAGAGACTGTGAGAGGGCTCACATCCAAAAAACGAAACAATATATACAAAAATAAAGAAATTGTTTGCAATATATGGCAAACAGAGGCCATAAACAATGAAAAGTCTTTATAACAGGCGTTCATCCGACTCTCTCACTCACTCTGTGCCTCCTTTTGCCTCTTTCTATATCTCCTGGATCTGCACTTCGGGTGTATTGGCTTTGACTATACGTTAAGTAAAAGCCTCATAATCTCTGCGGGAATACCAAACAAATTAATGTTTTGTCACTTTTTTAAGTATAACAAAAGTATGGAAACATTAATCTCAGTATTAATTCGTTGTATAAGAGATGGGAAAAAGAGATGCAGAGAAGAAACTGCTGAACACAACATGTGATTCCAGTGTATAATAGTTTGCCGGAGAATGAGTTGTGACTAAAACTATTTAATACATTGTTTTGCACTATAAAAAACACTAAAGCCTTCCAGCGGTTCATACATTCATAAAAGGAGTTTAAATAAATGAGTTTTGATGTTAACACACAATAATTCTCTCTATGCTATTCACACATCCATTGTGTGTATTATGTGTTGTATTCTTGTATTAAAATTAGGAAAACTAATAATTATTTTTGAATATTAAACATAATATTTCATTGCCTTTTACAGTGTCAGCGGTTGAAAGGCACGGACCGTATTTCACTCGCGAGCCCAACCATACCAATGATTTCTCAAACAGGTATGTCATTCACCGATCGATACAATTTTTGCAATCCTTTTCGCACACAATTACACAACAAATGTTTAGTTATTATCAATGGTTTTGTACCGAAACAATAAACGCTTTAATCATTAATTACACACAAAAAGCCCAAAACGAAATAAATTACACAAAAATATTAATTTATTATCAGCACTGAAAGAGACATTGCATTACATGTCCGTCCAAATTGTAATTATAAATTTAACGTTTGTATTAATTTGTGTATACATTATATGTTGATTAGTACGGGAGCTGTGATCTACTGTTCAGCGAATGGCAATCCGATGCCAAGCATTAGATGGGAGACCAAAGATGCAATCGTTGTCAACGAAATCTCTGGTAATGTATTAATTATATTGAAAATTGAAGTTTTGCACAAATTATTGCTATTTTGGGGACTAATAGATTTATTTATACTTATATGTTAACACAATTATTGACTTTTCCATACATTAATCGTTGAGTTAATGCCATTATTTTGTTTCAATCAATTAATATTGATTTCAAAAACATAAATATCAAACCAAATATCAATCATAAAAAGCAATTTATTTTCCTTATAATATACTGTACTTATAGTGTTTGGAGTTTATAGTTATGATATGGAGATAGACTTTCGCTGCAGTGAAGCCTTTTGTAGTTTTCCTATCCCTTAACCGTTTGTGAATAATTTTTATACACAAATTCATTATATGTTTTACTACTTTATTATTCTGACTCTGTTTTTAGGGGAATAAAATAATTTGTTTTATGCTTTTCTGTTTTCTTTCTTATTTTCAATTTAAAAGCTAGAGATTTGTATCATTATATGTAAGAAATTGAGTGTAAATATAGCCAACAATACCTGTTAATAGGTTTTGTGTTGAAAGAAAGTGTAATAAACTTTCCTCCATAACAAATGTAGCGCTACTTTGTCTGACATTTGTTTTTCATTAAATCCTTTATATATGTGTTTCTCTCTATTTCGCTCTCAAAGGTGTTCGTCATATAAGACACGATAATTCTCTGGTATTCCCGCCCTTCAGAGCCGAAGATTACCGACAAGATATTCACTCAAATATATACCAATGTATTGCCAGTAATTCTGTGGGAACCATAAGAAGTCGTTACGTTCAAGTCAGAGCTGGTAAGTGATTATGAGCTCAACAGCACATCCATTATTTGGATTTACTTTCGAGTACTTTATAATTAAAAAAGTGCCCAAAAAAATACTGTTTTCTTCTTTTTATTCTTAATATAAAAATGCTTTTTATTCTCAGATTTTATAATCACTTTTTTTTTGTTGGAATTTTTAATTATTAATATCTGTTAATTAGTATTTAAAAAATATATACAAAACTATTAGTGAATGAATGTGAAGAAGAAGTGGACGAATAAAATACAGTTTTGTTACTTAAGGATTAAGTCAACTGTAAAATTATTGAATTGCTTTTACGCTTAAATAATATTAAATAATGAAAAAGAGTTTTGGGTTTCTGAGAGGAAGTAAGTTCTCCTTCCTTTTGACTCTATGTTTAGTGAATGCTATGAAAGGAGTATTTATTTGCATAAACCATAAGAAGTAAGAGAGTATTGCCTACGAAATAGTAGCTCAAGATTTAGATCAAAGCCAATGCATACAATTCATAGCAAAATGTATGCATATATACAGTGTATCTATAGTAAGGAAATCAATAGTTGCGGTGGAGTTAAGTCTTTAGATTGAAGTTAGTTTCTCATTAAAAAGGCTACTCTTCTATAACATAGACTCCGTATTTGCATTACGAGCGCATAAATGCTGTTATATTACTCTCGTGTTGTTATTATTGATCTAATTTTGTATTTATCCTTTGCTTTTGAGGCATCAAAGAGTCGTCTCTCTCTCTCTCTCTCTCTCTCTCTCTCTCTCTCTCTCCATCCTATCTTCTACTCTCTTCTCCCTCTCATTCAATCCATAGTTTGCTTTTGACATAAAAACATAAAAGTGTTTTCCAATGCATTTTAAGCGAAAATAAATGGTTCGTTAAAAGAGCGCTACTTTTTCTTCTTTGAACAATTGCTTGAATAATAATAAAAAGTTTATCTAATATTTTCAGTTCACTTTGAATTTCTTTTGTAAATATCATATAATATTCACTGCGAAGATGTTTTGTGTACAAAAAAGCAAAGAAAAAGTAGTTTATCTCTTATTTTTTGTCTACAAATTCTCGCACTTTTCTTGATATACAAGAAAATATTTTAAGTTTTAAACTTTGTTAAACTCTATGTTTGATTTTTGTTTGGTTTGAAAATGAGAAATAAATGTGTTTTGTGTGTAGCCGTCGATCGTA